GTCTGCCACGCCATGTGGTCACCTCCGGGGCAGGCGGGAATCGAACTCATGAGAAAGTGGCTTTAGCTTCTCAGTGCTGTGCTTTAACCCGCTGCGCTACCAGGGAGGGCCCCATTCCTGCACTTTTAAAAACTGAGTGTAATATTTTTTTTCAAAGTCCTAACTTTGAAATAACAATCCTAAACATTTATTCAGGTTCTGATATATGAAGACTCTATAGTGAATGTCAGTGAGAATAAGAGCTTGTTTCTACCATCAGCAAGCTTATAAAATAAAACTGAGCACCTGGGATACACATTCATGAAGAATCTAATGTGTAAATGAATGCATCTAGAGGGGAGAGAACTTTACTCAAAATTTTGCTTGTTTCTAGCTTCCATTTGTTAAGGAACACCTGATTTCTATTCAGCTTATAGCTGTCAAGGAACATGCTTAGGGGCTTTTAATGGTGAACTAAATGTAGTATATATATATACAGATACTGGTTCATAATAATGCATACCTAAAATGAACATACTTTTATAATACAAAGTAAATTCTGTAAATTTTGTAACTTTTAACAACTATGGGCATGGGCACCGTGTTTAAAGAGTACTCTGATATAGAGAGATAGAAACATAACCTATTATTTGAATGATCTTTCTTCTTAGCTACAAGCCACTGTGGTGAGAATCTCTTTATGTCAAGCTACCCTCGGTCATGGTCAGAAGCAATTCAAAGTTGGTATAATGAGGTCCATGATTTTGTTTATGACAAAGGGCCAAGGTACCCAAATGCCGCTATTGGACATTATACCCAGGTAAGGAGAACAATGGAAAACTCTCTACTATACATACATAGCTTCTCCAAATTTCAATTGATTGCAGTGTTGAATTTTGGGAAAGACGAATGTAGCATGGATAAATCATTGTTTTGCATTTGGTGGGTATTTTAACTTTGACCTATCATCTATCAAAAATCTGAGGTTTCCTTGGCAGAGGAACTCAATCAGTTTTTCTAACACTCTGAATGGAAAAAGTAGGGAAAGCACTGAAAATGTAGTATTTTCAATGTTATTTTTACAAAAGAAAAAGCAATTGTAATAAAGTAAAAATGAAAACCAACAATTATAAACCAGAGACATTCTATGGGGGTGAAGAGGGGAACAATCAAAGCTGGGGTGGGAAGAGCACATGGGACTATGGTGATGGCACATGGGTGAACTGGTGGTGGGAAGTCCACGGGGACTACAGTGAGATGAAAAAATGTACAAAATGAGGAATGACGTTATATGTATATATGTGTGTGTATGTGTGTGTGTGTGTGTATATACACAAAATATTTAATATATATTTTATATACATACAATGGGGTAATATAGTATATATTGATATATTTAATTATATATATAATTTTAAAATAAGAAAAAATCTTTATCTAGCAAAAAAATAAATAAATTTTATTTTGATTCAAAATATAAATATAATTTTGAAGTCTAGGTGAGCTTTATATTTTCTACTTTTTTGACATTTCCTTCTATTGTGATATATTCTCACTTACTCACCTATGGATATGCAGATTGCTTGGTACTCATCATACCTTGTTGGATGTGGAGTGGCCTATTGTCCCAATCATCCCACTCTAAAATACTACTATGTTTGCCAGTATTGTCCTAGGTGAGTATCCACTTTTGTGTTTGCTGTCAGATATGTCATCAGCAATTTACTAGTCTTAAATTATCATATAATAGAAACAACAAGCTAAACAGAATCCGTACTTCACTAAGGAAGAAGATTAAAGATTTAGAAAGATTTTCTAAAGTTGAAATACAAGCTTCTCAGAAAAAAAGATCAGTTGCCCAATCCCACATATAATATTATGAACCTCTATGTTATGACAGAAGAAACTATCTTTCTTCGTAATTGCCTTTCTCAAAGTCAGTTACTCCCGGTATATGTAGTATAGTTACCTAGATCTAGTACTGTTAGTTGTTATGTTCACATACTAGAAGTGAAAGTTTGATGGTTAAGCCAGGAAGAAAGTGAGTTACTAAAGAGGGGATGACAGTTTAGGGAATTTATATATTTCAAATTTTCCAGAAAAAAATAATATCATGACACTATGCTTCTAATTTACCACAAAAATCTCTGAAGGAATCATCCATCTTGATTTATAGCTGTTAATACACCCCTTCACTAAGAAAAATGTTTGAATTATCCATAAAAATACCTGTGGCTACATTGGAGATAGCTTTGCAATATATTTGTTTAATTAATTTTTAATGTTTGAAACCACTTATTGCTAGAAGGGGATTTATCCACAAAATCAAAATTCCTACCTGGACAACAACTCAAGTGAGTTGGGATTCCAGGTTGAGAAGCACAACCTTTAATTTCACTGTAGGGACCAATTGAGAATTTAGTAGAGAGAACAGAAAGGCCCTAGGAGAATGGCCCATATCAAAAAGACTAGAAACAACAACTGCTGGTGAAAATGTAGAAAAAAAGGAAGTTCTCCTACACTAATGGTGGGAATGTGGACTGATGTAGCCTTTATGGAAATCAAGATGGAGATATCTCAAAGTTTAAATATGACCTAGTAGTTCTTTTCCTTGGCATCTACTTGAAAATTCAAAACCACAAATTTAAAATAAACTTGTATCCCCATGTTTATTACAACATTATCTACAATGGCATTATTATATAGCCTATGTACATCCAAACAGATCAAGAAGTGCTATATATACACAATGGAATGGGATAATGCTAAGTAAATTAGGTCAGAAGGAGAATGATAAATCCCAGATGGTGTCAATAATATGAAGAACATAAAGAAACCAAACTAAGGGTGAGATAAAGACAAACTTAAAAACTAACCTGTTAAAGCTGACGATAGAACTGAAGCCTCTACAGGAGGAAGAAGTGGAATAGAGGTAAGAACAAAGAGGGAAGAAAGAAAATGGACTATAGTGGTGAGCTTTGGGTGATTGGTAGTAAGTGCACTACAGTGTCAATAACTGATAAGGGTATCCTAGTAGTAATTCAATTGAAAAGGAAATAAGGGAGGGAGAGAGGGAAGGAGGGAGGGAGGAAGGGAGGAAATGAAATGATAAAAAAAAGTAAGACAGAAAGGTTCTAGGAGAATGCATCCAAACTCACTGCCTGTCTATAAGAGAGGGGGCATTTGACAGGATAGTTGGAATGAAAAGCAAGGGAAAGCAGGGTAAGAGAACTTTGCATCTTTTTCATAGTTTTACAAAGACCCACACACATATAGCTATATTGTGTACAAAGAGACTGAGACTCAAATGCCTTGCTTGGCCCACTTGTGCATCTGAGACTTTGACTCACCAGTACTTTTAAATACAGACCCAAAGTATAGTAAGTATCAAGGATTTGTGCAGACTAGTCACTATGTAACCAATATAATCTGGAAATTGGTCTTACAGATACCACCTTTTCCCCAATGAATATTCTCAGTTGGGGCAAACATAAAAAAATCTCACCACATGCACCACCTCTAGACTTTCAAAAATCTTACTGAGCACAACTAGTTCCCAAAACACATACCACAGGCTACTTGAGAAATCACCACCTCCATTTAGAAGCAGAAACTTTACTTTCACTTGTACACATGATAGAAATTACTATATTTTCTGGGCCCTCCCTAGTGGTGCAACGGGTAAGTTTGCAGCACTGCAAGCTAGCCCAGCCACTTCAGTGCGAGTTTGATCCCAGCCCCTGAGGTGATCCACATGGCTCAGCAGACCTCTCCTGACCTCTCCTGACCCACCCACTGCTTCCCTCAGCAGTGTACCTGTCAATCTGCCTGTTCTGTTTCCCACTCTTATCTCTGGTGAATCCTCTCACCACCCCTGCACCTCTGGCCTGTACCCCAATCTGTATATATAAATAAATAAAAATAGAGAAATTATTCTATTTTCCTTTTTAATATAAAATTGCATTTCATATAAAATATTTAACATACGCCAACCCTGACTCGTGGGGACTCTCCTTCATGTATCTCTGGAGAAATTGTATCCCTAGCCAGCAGCTTGAGCTACACTCTCACAGCCTTTTGACCAAGTCAAAGAAATGAAGAGTGTGGCCTCATTGAAACATACTCTGAAATCTTTAGACTTTATTTAACCCATTTCAGTTGCTCACACTCTGAAAATATGTTCAAGAAAGTGAGTGTGTGGATTATTCTTTACCTTATATTAGTATGTAAGTATATTTTGAGGATGTTAGTTTTCAGTTATTTGGTATAATTAAGAACACTGAATAAATAGCTGAATTGTTATATATGGTAATGGATGTTACCCTTGGCATAAACTAAACCCATTTGGATTTATTATAAGCAATTTTATGGAAAAAAAATTTGAGCATTTTGTATTTCAATTTTCAGTGGTAATATCAGAAGCAGAATAAATACCCCTTACCAGCAAGGGACACCTTGTGCCAGCTGCCCTAATGACTGTGACAATGGACTGTGCAGTAAGTTTAAAGTTATCACCTTCTAGGATATAAAATGTTCTGACTTTCCTTTTAAGATAACTTAAGAAATGCCTGCATGAAAAGACAAGATAAGATCACTCAGCAGAGTGTGTGTCAGAAAAATTTATACAGTTTACTATCAGTGCATTATTGCAATGAAAGCCTGATGCCATATGTTATAGAAAGAAACACTAGCTTCCAGTGTGCATTTACGACTATGTTGAACCTCTTACATATTGGTACATATGAAGATGCTTCTGTGGAAGAAATCCATTATAATGAAGTATAAATTTTACCTTCATGATAGTCAGTGTCTACAGGAAAGCTCACACTTTAGAAGTCGAAAATATGTCCAGGTATAAAGGTACAAGACAACATAATATGGTTCATTCTGGACAATCACAATTGCAACTTCTAATATAATCATACTAAATTATATATTAACATACTGAAATCCTCTTTTTCCCCATCATTTGATTTAATAACCACTTGTATGTTTATTTACTAGTACCCTTTACACACTTTTTAAAAGTCAATCAGTTCAGCTCACAGAAGCCTCTAAACTATTTTAGCATAAAATTGGTGGTATGTGATATCTCATTTCTTGCATTTGTTATAAATAGAGAGACATATTTGGTATTTTTGTTTAGTTGGGATATGTTACTAAGTCAACTTACTATCTAAAAAGTTAAGATTTTTACCTTTCAATTGCATTCACTTGACTGTATTGTAGCATTTGTTCTGAATGAAGAATATAACCATGATTCAGAATATTGATGGTATCAAAGTTATAAATCAACTAAGAAGAAAAATTCTGAATACTATTTGTTAAAGAATTTGGCACTTATCCTATTAGTAATTGAACAGCCAATCAAAAGACTTCAGACAGACATGTGAAGAGATCAGAATTGTGTTTCATAAAGAGCTCCTGACAATAAGATGAAGCCAACTAAAAGTTGAGTGAAGCCATCTTGGAGATTGTTGAAAACCATAGGCTCAAAACCAAGTGGAGATCTTTTCTGCATTAGAGAAAAATTAATAAAAAAAAGATGGACAGTTATGATAGGAAGAAAGACTAGCCAGTGCTTGTTGATGAAAAGTAAAGGTGAACAAGGAAGCTTGAGCCCCACTTCCTGGCTTCTCTGACATTGAGTGAGTCAAGAGTTGGAAAGTCAAGAGTAGGTAGAATGATGAATTTAATTTCTGATCTGTTGCATCTGTGGCCACTGATGGATAACCAAATGGAAGTATGCAACAGTCGTAGTGCAAGTCATTCCTCATTCAAATGTTTACAAATACATTTTCTTATCCTGAAACACTAGTAACACTGGAGTCCAGAAGCATGTTATCTAGGATAACTTTTCCCAATGATAAAAGTATTCATTATTTTCTGTCCTATAAAGGACCAACAGGTAAAATCACCCTTACATATTCTAGCTATTGAGCACTTGGAACTAATTAGTATCACTGAGAACCTGCAAATTTAATGTGATTTAATTTTAATTGACAAACTCAAATTTTAACAACTATGTGGCTAGTGGCTATCATGTGGTTGTTTAAATTTCTTTTGTAGTGTGCTTCTAAAGAGATTCATTTAAATTCATTTTACTCTGTTTTCTCAAGTAAGAAAGTAAGTCAATTCATTGTAAGAAAAACCTAACACACACACACACACACACACACACACACACACACAAAACCCTCAAGTTTAAAAAGAAGTGATGGATTAATCAGTGAGCTTACCACTAAGGGAAATCATGTCTCTCCAGATAAGTTATAGCCATCATCATGGGACTATGTCAATTTGTGTGTTCACTTACCTCCTCCCCACTTGCATTGAACTTATTGTTTGTGTATTAACTACTTTTTGTTTATTTTTATTCCAGCCAACTCTTGCCAGTATGTAGATGAATATTCTAACTGTAAAGAATTGGTTAGTATGGTGGGCTGTAACCACCAAGCCACAAAAGGCTCTTGCAAAGCTACCTGCCTGTGCCAAAACAAGATTTATTGAACATGCAATACAGACTGAGCAGTGCTGCACCATCTACTTAGCAGTGACATTTACTAGCATAGAAATCGCAAAAATGTTACCTGAAAACTCAATTCTGAATAGTAATGAATCTTTTTCTCCTGGATCTATTTTTGTTTTTTTTTTTTTTTTTTTTTTTTTTTTTTTTTTTTTGTTGTTGTTACAGAAATCTCTTTCAATAAAAAGGATCAAAAAGAAACTGTGATAGCAAATTTGGATGTTAAATTTGATTTAAACTTTATAAACATAATCAAATAGAGGATTCTGAAAGTTGTATTCTCTTACAACTAAGATCACAATAACTGTGAAATGAAATTGAGAAGAATGTGCTTAGAACAAAACAAGCATACAAGAACAGAATGTGGTATCACTGTCCCATGTATTCTGGATGACAGACCTTTTCCAAGCTCCACTTTACAGTTAAGCATCTTCAAAGAAATGTTACTACAAGTTGTCTGTAATTCCTTCTTTGCCATTCACCCTTCTTTCCACTCATCTGGCTTCCACCTATATAATTATGTTGAAATCACGCTAAGGTAGCCTCAACCTTCATTTTGCCAAACTTCATAATAACTTCATCACATAAATTCTCCTGAACAACTCTTTCTTAAAAGAAAAATTCAAAATAATACATATCAAACACTCGCCTCTCCAAGAGGAAGAAATTTGTTATTTCATTTTGGAGTCTGACCCAAACTTAATGATTCATCTGTAAAGAATAAAGTATGGAAAGAGAACAAAAGTAACTCTACAGTGGGAAAGTCTGGAAAATGTCATCTCAACCAAGTTACCGAAGTTACATTACCAGTGATATTATACTCCCTTTTATATGTGATTGTAAGAGAAATTTCACCTTGTGAGATTATTTGTCAAAACTTGCAGCCCCAAACTCATCAAGAGAGAACACATCAGACAAACATAGAAGGACATTCTACAAAATATCCAACCAGTACTACACAAATCCATCAAAAATCATGAGCAATAAGGAAACTGTTCCAAACCGGAAGAGAGGAGGGAAACATGAGAACTAAATGCAATGTGGTATCTGGGTAGACTCCTGGACCAGAAAAGATAATTAATGGAAAAACCGGTGAAATTTGAATTATCTGAAATGCTTTAAATGTTGATTTCTTAATCTTGACAAATATATCAAATCTAATATTACCATACGAAATGGTTACATTAAGGGAAACTTATTCTGGGTGAAGAGTATATGGGAATTCTTTGTACTATCTAAACTTTCTGTAAATCTAAAATCATTCCAAAATAAAACTGCATTTAAAAAACAAAAATAAGCAAATCTTAATTTTTTTCTTGGCTCCATAACTAACCATCCTTTTGCTTTATGATATCTAGCTATTGTCTCTTAGATTTTCCCCTCTCAGGCAAGTTTGTGCTCCTCTACTCCACTGTAGAGTTTTGAGATGTTTGAGCTTTAGGTTCTTTCCTGGACCTATCAGATAACACCAATAGTTGGATTGTCAAATCATACTCACAACTTACACAGTATCGAAGTTCACTAATAAAAGTTCACTAATAACATCAACGATACAAGTACTCTTGCAGCAAAAGGAAAGCTAGCAAGAGGTCCAAAATCACCAATGCAGCTTCCACATGCTGTTTGTGTCATGTATTTCTTAATCACTAGAGCACAGATTTTCCAAAAGGAGAAATAATATAGCATATTATTTCACTAATATGTGGAATATAGAGGGGAAAAGAAGAAATAAAAGAACTGGCAAACTTTAGAAATATGACTTCAGAATTGAGTTTCCTACATTGGGAAGAGGGGTATGGGGTAGAGAAGAACAAAGACAAAGGTGTGAGGAGGCCCAGCGGCATTGGGTAAAGAACTGCCAGTACCTAGTTCTGTCTGTGCCACTCTGCTCGCACACCCTGCCGGGACCCGTGGCCCACACCCCAGATCTTCTACACAAAAATAAATAAATAAATCTTTGAAAGCATGATAATTAAAAAATTATGAGTGCTTGAATGGTAGAAGTGGCACAGACCTGTCCCTTAAATCATATACAATATATTAAACCAATGCTACCTCAATAAAGAAAAATAGTAATAGACTTCCTAATTAATCTATTTTCAAAACATTTCCATAGGATTCTCAAGTACTTAGAAAATATTCACCCTCTTAAACTGATCTGCAAGAAGCTGATCTTTTTATACTTTCTAATTTTACTTCATCCCACCTTCTTACTTCTTAAACCCAAAATAAAATGGTCTTAAATTCTCCCACATTCATCAAAATTTTATTTACCTCAGTATTTGCAGTTTATTAACTCTACCTGAACAGTCACCTCTAGATTATTTGCTAGAACTCTTTTCATATTAAATTTAATTTTATCCAATGATTAGTTTTTCATTTGAGTGAATAGCATAAAGAATTTCCCTCATTCTCATAACTTCCTGAACTATTCAATAACTTTTGCAGTGCTTATTACAAGGTATAATACTTCATTCTTGCATTTGGCAAAAATTTATTGAAAACAAGTATGTTACAAGTACTTTTTCTAATTGGGTACTTTTAAATAGAGTGATTACAAAACTTTTGTAATTGGGTAGTTTTAAACAGAGTGATAAACAAAACAGACCTAATCATAAAATTCTCTGAAAGGAGAGAAAGAAAACTATTTTATGAATAAATAATGATTATAATGTCAGAAGTGATAAGTGCTATAAACAAAAATAATCAAGAGAATAGAAAATAAGAACAGACTAAGAGTAACTATTACTTTAAGTGGGATAGTTAGGCAAATCCTCTCTAAGGTAATGATATATCAGGAACACAACAGAAGTGAGAAAACAACCAATAAGATGACTCGCTGGAGAGAATTTTCAAACAGAATAGTAACTTCTGTTTGAATTAGGAATAAATGTGGCATATTCAAGGAAGGTAAGAACAGCTAGAACATCTACAACAGAGTGAGCAAGTTAAATGTCATTTTCTAAAGGGGTCAGTGGTTTAGGCAGAAAGTTAGTTACATGATACTCTCTAGTGCCAGTAAAGAACGGTAATATTCTAAGTTAGCAATGCCCCTAGAGTAAGTTGAGCAGGAGTGTCATATGATGACATATGCCGCGGACCAGCGCAGCAGGAGACAAGTTTCAGGGATTGCAATTCTGGTGCAGGGTGGACAAGGATGAGGTTGAGTGACAGACAGACACGACTTCTAGGAGTGCATATATGAATGTAATTTATTTTTAAGAGTGCAGAACATTTATACAGTTTTTCTTGGCAAGCAAATATAGGGGTACAATGATTTTTTTCAATAGAGGCATGACAGGTAATACATTAATTTCTTTTTGTTTCTGTGATGTTGCCAGGGGTCCGAAACCAACTTGGGTCCCTAAAAAACCATCATGTATTCAAGGTTCAGTGCTGCTAAACAAATACCCTATCACCTATGCCTTTCTAATCCTTTTAATTACTCTCTCCATTCATTTCACAAACCACCTGGTATATAGGAGTTAATTGTATAATAATATTAAAGATTGTAAAGGAGTTTCTCAGAAGTAAATCAGTATCGAGAATAGAGGAAATTACATTCCTATCAAGAGTATCATTAGAAACGAAGCACAGTATCCATAGCATTTTTTTTTTGTTGTTGTGCATCAACAGAATCAGAAAACAAATCAAAAAGTTACAGTGACCATTCCAGAATCAGCCATTCTTCTATTCTCAGAGGGCCACATATTCCTCCCGTGTGCCCAGTACCTTGACCGTGCCAAGCTCTAAGGATTTCTCACTTAGGCACCTGCGGGAGGGGACGTGGCAGACATATATATATATATATATATATATCACGTAAAAGGACAAGAACAGAAGCAACTAACAGGCTTGACTAAAAGAAAGATTAAGTTAAATTACACTAGAGAATAGCTGTATTTCTACAGATAGACAGATCTGTGTGTGTGTTTAACTACCATGAATATTGTACAATTTCAGGAAATAGGATAACTATTTCCCAGTTCAAGTTAGGAGTACTTTATGACAAAGAACCATAGTGACCTCACAAGAAAACTATAGACTATTGTTCCCCATGACCATAAATGTAAAATATAAAAAACGATATGACAAAGTGAGATCATACCGAGAATGAAAGGCTGTTTCAATATCTAAAACCTATTAGTACTATATACTTCTTAATATAATAAAGACATCATATATCTTCATTATGAAAGATGAAAAAACACACTTGACAATATTCAATACCTATAATATAATGAAAACAATTTTTATAAAACTAGATTAGAAAAGAGCTTCCTCATCCTAAAATGGAACATCTTACAAAGTCCTCAAGCTAGCCTATGCTTAATAATGAATGACAATGTTTTCTCTTTAGATTACATGTAAAAACACATGCTTCTTTTGAGCCTGGAATCTACAATCAGGAGAAAGGCAAGGATGCTCATTTGTATAACTTAGGTTCATGTTTTAAGCTTACAGCCAAAGCAAAAAAAGTTTGTTTTTTTTTTTAACTAAAGACAGATAGATTAGAAAAGTAAAGCTGACTTCATCTGCATAGTAATAGGATCTTGTTGCAGAAAATCCAAAGGAGTCTAGAAAAATGTTACAAAAACCAATGAGCAAGGAAGATCACAGGGTAGAAGAGGGGGTGCAGAGGCGCAGGATAATAATTACAGAGATTTCTCAGAAACCTGTCTTCCTAGTCTCACAAATCTTCGCCACTGCTCCTTTCAGCTCAGCACACAGCTAACTTCTGATTTTACATGAGTAGTTAAAGACTACATTGTTACTTCCAACAATGACGATGTGTTGATACTTTGCATGTGCTTGCCAACACATTTTTACTCAGAACCTACATTCTTCTATTTTTACTTACCCTCCATCCATACCAAATCATTATCAACATTGCTTTGTCTTATCTATTCACATTCCACCCTTTTGTCTTTTATTGCTTTGTAATTAATATGGGGAATTTTCATGACACAATTTTCCCATCACCAATTTCACATCTCTGCAAATCCATGCACACTCAGTGCTATCAGGTAACTTCCATAAAATGTTTGATCATGTAATTCCCCATTCTCTAAATGTCAATGAAAATCATTGACATTTAGACATAAAGAACAAATCTTTTTAACATAAACACTTTTTAAGACTTATATA